TGAATGGTTTATTATTGCTTGTTCATCAGTTGATTTCAGATCATATGTTGTTGTTACCCTGACTATAGAAGTCATAAAGCACAAAAATGTCTTTCTGCCTTTCCTGTATCAAGATCTTGATCGAGAACTTTCAAGAAGCAGAATCTTTAATGGACCTGTGCAGATTTACAATTTGAGCAAGATGTGGCACCCATTCCCTTGTGATGGATTTTCAAGAACATCAGGTTCGGTACATCAACACATTTTGATTATGATTCACTTGGATCCGACGTGTCTTAAGAATTCTGTGTTAAGCTCTTGAAAAGGTTTAAACAGCTTTGCTAAGCTCATTAAAGTAATTACTAATTAAAACATTCGTTTCATATTTTGAACAAGATATAACATTTGCACTGTCACACGCCAAGGTTTTTGGTGCTCTCTGATGTTGAAAAATGAGTTTTTTTTCTAAAGATGAAATGAGTTCTAACCCTTTTTCTAGGATTAATTTGAAGCTGAAGACTAACTCGCTCGAAATATGTAAATGAATTAACGGTTTAACTCAATTTTTACGTAATGCTTTTCGTAGAGAAAACGCGTTTTCTGAGAAGAATGAACGTGGCAATCGAGAAAATTAGTTTTTTATCATCGCTTGGTCTATCAAAATTTACTGAGGTAGTCAATAAAAGTCCACAAGATAGTTTATCTTTTACGGTTTTTTCAAGGAAACAGTACAATGGTAGCGCAAATCGCACATATAAGTGAATTGCGCAGTCATTGTACCTTGGTATTTTATCAGTATTTTCCTTATATATTCAGATTTATTGAATGGATCTGAATTATTATTTTTTTATTTTGTTCCTCCAATCTGGGCATACTACCCTGTGAAAAATCGGAGTTTTATTTTGTAGAGTCAACGAATTATAGTTCTCTCAACTTTGTGCGGTTATCATGTTTTTAGCTCTATCTGGTAGAAAAGTAAGTTTTGCCATACACTTATAAGGTCCAAAAAACCGGTTTTTAGCGCTACCTGTCGTTAAGAAATGCTTCTTATCTAATTTATTCTTTATCATTGATACCCAGTGATTCCCTCAATTTATAACAAACAGCCTGGGGTTTCAGAATATGTGACTGATTAGCATTGTCATCACACTTTTCTATCATTTTTTATAAAAAATCCGTTTATAGTCAAAATGCGATGTTCTGTCACACGAGATTAAAAACGATGCCCAGACTGAACAGCTAATCTGAAAATTCTCAGGAAGGTCTCGAATGAAAGCCAACACTCGGGGACATAAAATGATAAAGAAACGAAAACAAGCACATTGTATTTCGGTAAGAAAAAAATCTGAAACACAATTAAAAACGATTGTCACGCCAGATTATTTGTTTTGTTTTATCTATAACTCTCTTATTTGTTGACCGTTTGAGTCGAAACTTGGCTCATTTATCTACTCATCAAGGTCAACTTCTTGTGGAAAGAGTAGCGTTTGAGAGTTTACGGTTCGCCAGAAAATTAAGAATTAGTCCAAAAATATCAATTTCAAAAGAATTTGGAGATGAAGAAATTACTGTCACAACAACAGACAGATGGAAGTAATATGCCTAATGCAACACCATCCACGTCACCATCAAAATTGTTCATTGATAATGTTAGTCCACTGGCCAAGAAACGAGCAACAAAACGACTGATAGATAAAAAAGAAGAGCTGTCTCATGGTGCTATTTCACAAGTGCGAAGAACGTTGGGCATTAATTTATAATATTATTTTTGTCCTAGGACGATGTTATCAGAGAAACACCGGATAAAAGGAAACATGTCGATGGAAAACAGATAAGATTTCTGTTGAATCATTTGTCAACTCTTCATCAAAGATTCGTGGTCGAGACTGGTAACAACTGTCACTATTCCACATTTACACGTTATGTGCCTGATTTTGTGGTGAAACCGAGTACCAATGATTGGGGCATTTGCCTTTGCGCTTTTTATGTCAATCCACAGCTAAAACTTGAAAAATTACAGCAACTGAACTCTCGACATCCGGTTCTTCAGACGGTCTTATATAGGGTTTAGCTACGAGGGACATAAGCTTCAAAAAAAGATCAAAATAAAGTGGTCTGGTAAAAGTTTTGAATTTGTATGATTGAAACTCTCGTGTAGTAGGAAGGAAAAAGCATGCCGACCGCGTTCGAGCAGTATGGAGTAGCTGTACTTCATTTGATCATTTTATAGGAATTGAAGCTACATGTGGACCGAGTGCGCCAACAATTCAGAGCGGCAAAGCAGGTCAAACAAATGGCAATGGAAAAAGATAATGCGGCTACAATATATTTAGACTGATCGGAAAACTACAATCTGAAACAAGCGCGTCAAGAAAATGGTAACGGACGGAACAATTTGGATTGTTATCTGAAAAACACCATTAGTGTAACACTTAGTCTCATTTCCCTCTAGCAATTGTATCTAGACATGCACCGAGCCCGAGTACTCGACACTCGACAATTCGATTGTTCCAATCTACTATCTGAACAAAAATATAAGAGCGGTAGCCATTCTTTGAATAACTGTTGAACAGAAGTAGATGCCGACTCGTGGTTTTCGCTATCCGACAGCCAAAACTTAAGAACATGTTTTCGTAAGCAGACAATATTTAAAAATATTTTTCAAGAACCGGTTTTCCAGACGATCTCTTGAAAACCGCTTTCTAACTGGAAATTTGATATAGCAATATACTGGTTTTTTTTCGCGAGTAGACAGGCTAAAGTATCCTTCACAAAACAGAACCTAAGCGAGAGCTTTATCTCTCGTTGTTACGCAGGAGACGAGGTTTCCTCTTCATTTCAGTCAATGAATCTCAGTAATGTATGGAAACATAAGTTTCAACTATGCTGAATCTCGTGGCAATATTTGGTTTTATAAAAAGATTTTAAAATCCAGCGAAAACCAACTCGAAAATTAGGGTTTTCCACCTGTTTTCACCTATTATTAAAAAATTCACAGTTCACTGATAAAACATCAGAACGAGTCCCAAACTTCAGAATATGGATAATTCCCTTGGCTAGACGTGATTACAAAATCGAAAAAATTAAAACATGATGTTTTTTCTCCTAAGCATAAACTTTGCGATCTAATTTTAGCGAAAACTTGGGTAGATTTCGTTTTAGGCGCTTACTATTTTGAGCAACACATATCAATATTAAGTGGATACGTATGCAAAAAGGACGATTGCTTCAGTTTCGATTCGATCTTAGATGATACTAACCACATGTCTGAAGCAACCTGGGCTGCACTTCAGAACTTGCCGAATGGCCTGACGACCGATAAGACTAACAAAATCATAACACTGAATATCATATCGGATTCGCCAGTGTCACAATACCGCAACAAAACTACGTTCTATTTCTTGAAACATTACGCCACGACCAAGCAAATGACAATCAAATGGAACTTTTTTGGAAAGTGGTCATAGCAAGGGAATGGCAGACGGTGTGAGTGCTGCCATCCGGAGACTGATGGACCACCCTGTTGCTTTTCGGCCAAACGAGTCGTTCAAAAACGCACTTGATTCGATGAATGTTATTGAGAATGACACAAGCATTAAACTGTTTATTTATGGTAAAAGCAAGATTGATTTTGGGAAAAAAAATATGCTAGCACTAACAGCTACGAAAGGAACAGCATCTCTACATGAAGTAACGGCTAAATCAGACGTAAAATGTATGGGAAAGACACTTCTTTTGATGCCGAACGAAATTGCTGGAACTGAAATTTTAAACACAACGGTAATTCGTCAGCTTAACTTTGGCATAGTTATTGCACTAACTCTTTGTACCGATGATGAACCAGTAGATCAGTAACGAGTGAAGGCGTTTTGGTAGTACTATATTAATGTACTAAATTATATTTTTGCGCTTTATCTCTTTTATTAAATAAACTAGAACTGGTTTGTATACAAACGTCTCTTTATCGCTGAAAATACAAGTTTTCAGCTGCAAGCGAAACCAGATTCGTCAATAAAAGGTGCAGTACACATCATTGCGTCTGTCTCATCAAGATCTATCAAATGGTGCATCATACTTATACTTTTGTGTTATACGAAAAAGTTTTTTCACGCATAACCTCGAGGATTTCTAAAATATTTCGAAAAACTCTCGTATCTCAGCCATCTTGATAGTGGTAGTCGGGAACTTTTCTTCCTGTTCTCCTCTCATATAGTACAATGAAATGTACGATTCAGTTTCTTTACTTTCGAAACTGTTTTTCGCTCATTTTTTTCTCCTAATTGCAAATCACTCACATACATTGTGGGGCGCTCTTTTTTTTGTTTTCGAATAGTACACATCTATAGCTACTAGAATATGTGATTGGCTCGCCGATCTATATCCTATCTTCTTGTGGTTGGATACAGCCCACACTTTTCGTTGTTTTTTTGATAGTGTAACATTGAAAGTGATTTTTCTCGGGACGGTAATGACTTGAAGAAAGAGAAATATAGTCAAAGGCGAGAGCACTAGTTGAGAAACTGGCTGATAAATAAGTTTGATTTTCTCACAATTTGTAATGTATCGATATTAGTCGTTGTAAAGACAGCGGTGAATTTAAATTAACTCTAGCGATGAATGGAGCGGGAGAAGTAGTTCATTCATCGCCGTTAGTAAAAATATCTCCTCTTGATGGGGTTTAAGGTCTATAATAGAGAGATGTTCTTTCACGAATTGTAGGTATTGCGTGTCAAAAAACTTAAAAAAGTGTATTTTGGAGAAATTTCATTTTCTACAAACGTTAAACATAGAAGACCGGAAATTTAACCGCAGTTTCACGGCATCACAAAAAGGTAAAATGAAAACAGGTACAAGATCTGTATAAAACTGTATGGCATCATCGCCATGTTTAATTATAGTCAGTTACATTATTCTTTTTTTAAAAGTAATGGAAACGTACAAAAAAATAGCAAAGCGTTCTTCAAAAGTTTGAAGGCTATCTTTGTCTTGCTAACAATAAAGTTTTCCGCTTTCAAATAAAAACTTTTGTATACGATGATTCTTGCAGTCACTCACATATAAATTCCATTGTGAATCAAATGCGATACCTTCTGCACAATTCAAATGTTTACTATCATTACCCGCTATACCTTGTGCACTACCAAGTATTGTGTCTACTGTGTTATCTCTTACATTCACACGCTGAATACGATGATTTAACCGTTCAGCAATGTATAAATTACCATATAAATCTAGTGTAATATCTGTTGGATAATTAAGATGTAGGGAATCTGTTCCAGATTCATTTTTAACACCGAGTATGGTTGTTCCAATGAGACTCTGGTTAGTAAATTTTTTAACATAATGCTGAGTATGATCTGCTATGTAAACAGTGTCACACTGATCGACAACAATACCTGTAGGATAGACCAGATCGGTAGCAACAATTTTTGAATTCATTGACGAATATTTAACTATTCTACCACTGCCAAATGTTGATACGTAAATGTCACCTTGTTTATTACCAAAAACATCGTCAGGACGTGATGACGATGACTGATCAATGGTAGTTATATACTGTGCACCATCCACAGACCATCTTTGTGTTCGATTATTGTAATAATCAGCAACAATTATATCACCGACAGAATTAACAAAAACATCAGTTGGCAATGAAAGTTGGTCAGTCCGACTCCCACGTCCATTTCCACCAGCAACTGTAACGCCCACATTTGAACCTTGCACAAACTTTTGTATACGATCATTTTCCGAATCTGCTACATAGAGATTATCAAACTGATCAATAAAGATTCCTTGTGGTTGAAAAAGATGAGTAGCGAATGATCCATTAATACCATTAACGCCTGCAACTGTAATACCATTTTTATTCCATGTAGCCGGTGTACACATTGAAAGCGGCGGTGGTTTTGTAAAAGCTTCACAAGAAGCTGTTTCTATCGGAGCTGTGTTAAAACAAGAAAAAAGCAACTATATTTCATAATTGACGAGAAAAGCTCTCAAACAACACTTCCGATTTTGCAAGCT